GACTTTTATTCTGGCACAGAGCCACCCTAAACCAAAACTGTATTTCCCATCCTCCTTTGCAACAAAGACTATGATTGAGTTCTTATGGGACTTAAGAAGTCCATAAAAGGGAGCTTTTGGTAATGGCTAGAACTTATCTTGGACTTGGAGAACAAGGGGCAACATCCCCAGGATGCAGAAGCAGAGATCTAGAGAAGGTTTGGACCCCTAATAACTTCATGGATCCACAAGTATCACCCATAGATTGATGACCACCCCCCAACACATTACATAGGAAACATTTCTCTCCTGTCATTCTGGGTTTTGTTCTATGCTGTTGAACCTAATTCTAATTTAGAGACAAAAGGCCAACCAGCTGAGGACATCTATGCAGAAGGACAGAGAGCCCAGACCCTTTGGAGAATCACGTCACCAACCCATCCCTGAGACCTCCCACTCCAGACCACAGAAAAGTTCACATTGCTAATCAGGTATCCTGTAACAGACTTACTGCACCCATTAGAGGGCAAAGCACCAAAGTAAAATAAGGAAATTTTAATCTTTATAAAAGCTTGATGTGAAGAATTCTCAAGAAGGACACTGATAAAACTCCTCAGAAGAGGTGGCTGGATTTGGAGAGATAATTACCTACGTAAAGATGCCTCTGAGGGCAAGAACCAAAACTCCAACAAAGTTAAACAGTAAGCAATGAGCCCCAGGATCAGGTGATTCAGGCATTCAACATTGTCCTCGGCATACCAGGTTCCTGACTTCTTCCTGCTCTGCCAATGGGGCTTCATTCTCAGGCTGCTGGTGAGATGAGGACATACGTCCAGGGGGCACATTCAGAGGTGCCAGAGCCTGTCCCGGCTCTATCCGCACCTTCTCACCTTCTTCCCCATGGACTCCTGCTCCTAGCCTCAGCACCTGCCCTTCCCTCCACCTCCCAGATCTCCCTGCACACATCCCCACTCAAATCCCTTCCCACAGAGGCCCGCTCCTGTCTTACTACTTAAAATGACACCCACCTCCTGCCTCCCTATCCTTCTGCCTTCATATTTTCCACAGCGTGCAGCTGCATCCAACTCAAGGCACGTTGTCTTGGTTTCATTTGCTGGGCCACACCTACCTGGTAGATGCTCCAGGAGCACAGAAATGACTGCTCTCTCTCACTCCCCCAGCAGAGTGGGTGTCCCACAAATGCCCACAGTGGAAAGAAAGCCAAGTGGTAGACAGACAATGCCCAGAGGAACAAGGGAGGGGAGGGGGACTTTTCCGGAGGTTGTCCCCATCACCCCCTGGCCTTCCCCACCCAGCAGAGCAATCAGAATAACACACTCCAGCCTCAACCAGTTACTGGCAAGGAAAAGGGATTTCTTTTAGCCTCAGCAGGTGCTGGAGAAAGATGGACCCCGTCCCTAGTGATGCCAGTTATGCTCTATGATTCCTGGTTCTCCTGGGCTTTTTCTTGTCTGGTTTAGAAACAGTGGCTACCTCGTCCCTTCCCTGCCACGAGTCTTTACAGAGTTGTCCCCACTCCGCTTCCCCTTCCCCAAGGCCTCAGCCCTGCCACACCCCGCTGGGATCCAGCTTCCATCCTCAGCCACCAGCCCTGCTCAAAGCTGGGTATCAGCGACCCCCTCATTTCTCAAGGACTCCCTCACTCTGGGGAGCGCCATGCGAGGTGCTCACAGCTGCCTGGGCTCTCACTCCTGCCCCCTGGTGACTTCTCCTTCTCAGGTCATGATCACAGTGACCACCGCGGATGCCTGCTGTGGCCCGCCCTTTTGGCCACCTGTCCCCTCTTTCACCTGCTGGGAAATCACAACCCCAGTCCTTGCACAACTGAAGCAGTTTCTCTCCAAAACCTGAGCTGTGAAACCGCAACAACCTCGGGAGAAGCCAGTACTGGAGATGGGCTGGGGGCCGCGTGCGAGGTGGCACCGGGCTTCCCAGAGAGAGGCGGCCCCACCGCCCCTCTGATCCCTCTCCCCACACAGCCCAGGGCCAGACTCTCGGCCCTCGGCAGAGGCACTACCCTAGCCGGCGGGAAGCTTGGGGTGTGAGACTGAACAACAGTTACTCCATTTTGTAATAGGGCCCCAACTTGTCCGGTGTGTTTCCTCCTGGGTGATCTTCACTGTAGTCAGCTCCTCGGAGCATTTGGTAAGGCCCACGGTCTTACATTCTGGAGGCCTCAGAGAGATCCCCGGGTAGGAACCCCTGGTTCGGCCGAGACTCCGTGGCAGGATCCAGCAGGAGACTCTCAGGCACAGACCTCAGAAAACCTCTGGAGGTAAGCTTTCGGCCAGTTGCAACTGTTTGTTAAGTTAGGAGTGAGGTGGCTGATGAGCAGGGAAGCCTCCCCTGACCCCGAGGTTCCTGACGAGGAACAAGGGAAGATTTAGTTTTATTTTGTCATGGCACCCATTTGTCTTGTCTTTTGTACGTTAGTGTTGTGTCTGTTGCATGTCTGATTTTACATTTTTTTTCCCCTATCCTTATCAGGAGCAGAGTAATGGGAGGAACCTGTTCTACTGGGTCCACTCCGCTTGACTGCTTTCTCACTAATTTTAGATTGGTTTTTTCGCCAAAACAAGAAGATGACTACGGGGTGAAATTTTCTTGCGGAAAACTCCGCTCCCTGTGCCAACTGGAATAGGCAGCTTTCGGGGTGGGATGGCCAGCCGAAGGGACTTTTGACCCCAGTGTTTGCCGGGAGGTTTGGGGCAAAGTCACTGGTTGCCGTGGCCACCCAGACCAATTTCCCTACATAGACATCTGGGTTCAGGCTTGTGAGAAACCTCCGGCTTGGCTGCAGCACTGTTCCCTCCGAACAGACACTCGCATTTTAGTCGCTGCCCCAAAAGGGCCCCAGGAACTTAAGCTCTGGGCTCCTAAGCAGGTTCTCTCGCAGGAATCTGACCCCCTGGATCCCTTAGGAGGGCCTCCGCCCTGTGTGGAATCCTCCACCCCCTCAGATGGCTCCCACTCTAGACCCCACAATCCTTCCCTTCCTCCATCTGTTCAACCTTCGGCTCCTACTCCTCTCTATCCTCCTCTCCCTGAGGGGGGCCTCAGTCACCGGACTCTGTGACTTCTCCCCCACACACACGAGCTGGGGGTGTGTATGGGCCTTTCGAGGTCCCCACTGGGGAAATTAGTTCGGCCCCTCTCTTGCCCTTTCGGGAGACAGAACAAGGTCACTGTGTTTATATCCCCTTTACTACCAGTGACTTATATAATTGGAAACATCAAAATCCTCCCTTCTCTGAGATCTCTCCTAGAGTCTATCTTCCATACCCATGATCCTACTTGGGATGATTGCCAACAACTCCTCCAGGCCCTTTTTACCTCAGAGGCGAGGGAAAGGATCCGGGGACAAGCTGTGAGGTCGGTACTAGGTGGACTGGAAGGCCCCCTAGATGACCAACAGCGAGCCCATCTGGAAGCCCATCCACCTGACCCCGCTGGCAAACTAACACCTCAGGCAGGAGAGACGCTCTCCAGAACTATCGTCAGCATCTCCTGGCCGGCCCGAAGGGAGCTGCTCAGAAGCCTAACAATTTGAGCAAGGTAAGCGAGGTCTTTCAAGGACCAGCGGAATCCGCGTCTGCCTTTTTGGAGTGTCTGTTGGAAGCATGCCGTACGTATACTCCAATTGATCCAGACACCCCTGCAAATCGGCAGGCAATAAATTTGGCATTTGTTACCCAGTCAGCCCCAGACATTAGAAAGAAGCTACAAAGACTAGAAGGATTTGAGGGAGAGAATAGAGAAAAGTTGATGAGTGTTGCCATTAAGGCATTTAACAATAGAGATCCCCCGGAAGAGAGGATGGCCAAGAGGCTGGGAAAAGCGACCATAGCCGCCTTGGCCCATGGAGGATTTGTCCAGGAAAAAAGACTCAAAAATAAGGGAGAAAACAAGGGAAGGATTCGACCCCTAGTAGAGAAAGATCAATGTGCCTATTGCAAGGAAAAGGGCCATTTTAAGAAGGACTGTGAAAAGCTAAAAAGAAAAAGAAAAAAGGAGGCCCAAAAGGAAAAAGGTGAAATCCTCTTAGTAGATGAAGAAGATTGACAGGGCCAAGGCTCGTGGCTGCTCAACCCTAGTGAGCCTATGGTGACTTTGGAGATAGGGGGAACAGATGTTCAGTTCCTTGTGGACACTGGTGTAGCCCACTCTGTCCTGAAGATCCCCCTTGGACCCCTCACTTCCTCAAAAACCTCCATTACTGGAGCCACAGGGAAAGTGGCCTCCTACCCTTGGACCACTAGACTGTGACTCTAGGAAAAGGCACCGTCTCCCATTCCTTCTTAGTTATCCCTCAGTGCCAGTACCCATTGCTGGGAAAAGATTTGCTACGAAAGTTGGGGGTTATTTCCTTTGAGCCTGAAAGAGGGACCTTCCAGCTTCAGCCACCCTCCGCCATTATGGTGACGGTTCCCCTAGAAGATTAATTTAGATTGCTAAAGGAGGACACAGAGCCTCCCAAACAAAAATGGGACCTTTGTTTCTGCCCTTGCTGGACCCCTGTTAATCTTGTTACTAGCTTCGACTTTCAGCCCATGCATTATTAATGAGCTTATGGCCTATGTAAGGGTGGGGATAGGATCTGTTCGCCTAATGATTTTGAATCAACAGGCCAAATATCATCCTTTAAGTGAGCTAGACGAGAAAGAGCAAAGATGGAGACAAGAATACCAAGATAATGCTGAATAAGATTACACAGCTACGTGAAAAATCAGTGGGGAATGTGAGACTGAACAACAGTTACTCCATTTTGTAAGAGGGCCCCAACTTATCCAGTGTGTTTCCTCCCGGGCGATCTTCGCTGTAGTCAGCTCCTCAGAGCGTTTGGTAGGGCCCACGGTCTTACAGGGGAGGACGCAGCCCGCTGGCGACCAGGGCTCCCCGCAGCCGGGGGCGGAGGGGTGTGGCCGCCGTGGCCTTATTTCCCCGGGCGCGGGCACCGCCCGCGGTGAACCCGGGCCGCTCGAGCGCCGCGCCAGCCCGCCCGCGTCCATGCAGCCCCGTCGGCCCCAGCCGCCCGCGCCCCGGTCGAGGGCCCCACGTCCAGCCGCCCGGCTGCTCGCTCTGCAGGTGCTGCTTGCCCTCCAGGGCGCGGCGACGATGCCCTCGGGGCCAGGGCAGCCCCCGGATGCGGGGCTCTCGCGCGGGCTCCTACAGCAGGCGGCGCGCGCGGCGCTGCACTTCCTCAACTTCCGCGCCGGCTCGCCCAGCGCCCTTCGATTGCTGGCGGCTGTGCAGCAGGGCCGCGCGCGGGTGAGTGGAGCGGTGGCGCGCATGGAGGGCGCGGGCGGGGCAGGCAGCAACATCTGTGCGCGCCCCCTCGCCGGCGGATCTGGGAGCCGAGTAGGGAAACGGGGCGGGCGCCTCAACACCACGCGAGTGTCCAGCGCGTGGAGGGGCCCGTCGGTGGGCAGAGTCCGCGGACAACTGGCTCTTCCTTCAGGCATTTTCGAGGCCATACATTTTTCACCGGTCAGGACTGTTGACAGCTCCCATATCCAAGAGAGAAATGCATGGGGACATTGGACAGCACTTAATCTTGTCTGAGGGTAACGAGTTGGTTTCTATGGGAGTCGCCACTGCGGACGCAACCCACCGGTGGCTCCCGAACTCTGGGAGCTGGGCCTGACTGCCCAACTCTGAGCCAGCTCCCATGCAAGACTGTGGACACCTGGCTCTTGTTAACTGTAGGCCACCTCACTGTGCAAAGGTTTCAGGATAATGTGATTGATATTTATACTTAGCTACTGCATGAACCTTCTAGTGCTAACTCTGCCTAATCGAATGGGAGTGAGGCCTGGTGTTGGGGAGCAGGGCTTAGTTTTCTGTATGCACCAAAAGAATGAGAACTTTAAACCCCGTTGATTGGTTGCTGATATCAAAGTATTGGTTGTAGGTATTCTTCTCTGTGTGTGAAGTTACATTGCTTTTTTCATCAAATAGTACAGAAGTTATAGAACTGTACTATCCCCAAAGCAACAGTGGCTCCTTGTCGCAACCCCCAAATATTCCACAAAGCTTGTAGACACATGACCACACAGAATGTAGAACTGAGTATAGGATATAAACAAGTGCAGTTTTAGAAAGTGGCAAGTAGGATTTTTCATTTAAGACTGCCCTAGCCCTGGTATCAAACATAGGTGGGAAAATCTTCACCTTTGGAAGCTCACCTTGGATTTTCAAAGACTTATTCCTGCACCTAACAAGGCTAAATTTGTTGAAAGGTTAAATTAAATTGTTCATAGGAAAAGGCAAACTCTTCTCATCACCTGTTTTTAACCATCTTTGCCATCTCAGGGACAGTTTTTCTAGCCCAATAGAGGAGTGGGGGAACAGATTTTCCAACTTTCCATCAAGGTAGAATACAGGTAGCTGCCTCCTGAGCCTAAACAGGGCCCTGAAGATTTGCTTCCTGGGTACCCACAGGCAGGGTTTCTTACAGAGAACTCAGCCCAGTTTCTAAAGCACACTAGTTTTCAAATTCCAGGGATTTTTCTTCTTCCCAAGACCATTTTAAAAGAAAGAATAATGAGATACCTCACATTTTCATATACCTAGTCACTCCCTTGGGAAAAATTTCTAAACAATGGGCATTTTCTACAAAATAATCAAACCAGCTCTCAACCTGAGTAAGTTCCATAAAAATTCATTTTCTTCACTTATACGAAGAGGAGCTTCCTTAATTTTAAAAAATCCTCCCTTAAATAGAAAAGGAAATAAATGAATTAATTAGACTAGGGCAGGTATGTATGAGAGGGACAAGGAGTGAATAAGTAGCAGAATGCTGGCCATTGACCCTAAGAAATGATAATTTCCTATTGACATCTGGTTTGCCTTTACATTTCCTCCCCGATTTTATAAGTTATGTAGTTATGAGAGCCTTGGAAAAAATGGTCAGTGATCAAAATCTCTGTGGACCAGAGCAGTTTGTTTTTCCCAGGAATTTAGTGAAATGATTTAGTGAATCATTCCTCTGCCTCCCCCAAACCTTATCACTAGAGAAAAGCCCAACTTGAAGAGTCAGCCAGCCCAGTGCAGGGTATGTGTTAAATTTGCCACAAGCACATGCCATGGTCCTGGGGTAGCAGAGACAAAGGAGAGTGGCTGGGAATGAGTGCTGATTCCCACTAGGGATCTTCCATGGGCTTTGTGGAATAGGGGAAACAACTGTGGGGTGTTGTGGGAAACCCCAATGCAGGCCCTGTTTTGCCTCCAAGGAACCACACAACGTAGAGAAGGTCATATAAGTCTTTCTGGCTCTTTCCCCATTTGGAATAGAAATCTTGTTCTGCCAAAAAAAAACCCAGTGGTTTAAGAGTCTTATGAGATGATGCATGCACCAATTGTAAGGTAGAAAAATGTGCTACCATCATGCCTGCTTGGGGGCAGTCTATTCATCCACTGTTTCTTGAGTACCTAATTTGTGTTAGGCTCTAGGTTAGATATTGTGGCCCTAATTCAGGCTTAGGGTGGCAACATTTGGAAAGGCTTTGAGATTCGCTTCATTTTGAAGCTGCCTGGGTGAGCATTACAGAAGTGTTCTTTATAGAGCTCCTAGGGTAGTAGCTGAAGCAATGTCTGCTTCATTTACAATACAAGAGCAGCTGCAGCATTGGAAAGAAGGAAAAAATGGCAGGAACCCCAAAAGTCTGGTTTGGACTCTATCCAATCTGTGTATTGATAGGATGAGGGCCTACCATTCATCCAGGAAGACCCCAGGGGTCGGTGATGGGTGGGTGAGGGAAGTGGGGGTGCCTCCCTGTTCTAGGGGTCACCACTTTCCTTTGTAAAACAAGAGGCTGGGCAATGCAAACTAAGGGCCTACTAGTGAGTACTGAAATTAATTCAGTAGTGTCCAGTTGTTGTATTTTTCAGTGCTGGAGATTGAACCCAGGGCCTCATATGTGCTAGGCACATGTTCTACCACTGAGGCAGTAGCCCCTTGCCCTGTTTTGTTATTTTTAATGAAATTGTTCAGAATATAAATTATGAGTGTGCTACAGAAGAAACAAGGGTAAGTGATGTCTCAAAATGCATTTCCAATATATGTGTATGAATGAGGTTGCGATGAAGAACTCAGTTCTTGATGTGGGTTGCAGCTTTAAAAAGTCTTGAAAACCAGTGGGCCAAGTGACTTTTGAGACCATTTCTAACTCAGAAACTCCTTGATTCTGTGATTTCTTGGTTCTGCAAGAGCCCTCATTTTAGAAACACTGTTGTCCTCTAGTGGTGAGATGCGGTAGTAGTCATGGAGAGTAAATCCGATGGAGATTAAGGAAGCGCCGGCTGGTGGGGAGCGGTTTGTTTTATTTGGCGTCCTGATTGTGTTCCCTTGCTACCAGTGCCGGATCTCTGTCGGATCTCTTTCCTGGCCTTACATTACCCTTCTGTGACCAGTAGACTTCTACTTTTCTGGTATCACAAGGCACGGATTCAGGACCACAGTTGGAGAGGTGGGAGATGTGGGTGGGGGTGGTGTTGGGATTTTCTTACATTGTGCAGAAAATCTTGGATCAGCCCTGAGGTTCCCCCAGTACCACTTGTTCCCAGATGCCCCTGTCACTTGAGAAGAGTCTCCTCTTGCCACCCAGCAAGTTCTAGGACGCCCAGCCTGAGCAGGGACTCTCACAGACATTCAGAGACTGGCTGAAATCTCCGTGTGCACATGAAAATGTCAGCCCATTTGGGAGGCAGCCGTTGTTTGCTGATCGGTCACTTAAAGGGAACTGTCTCTGACCAGTCCAGTAGTAGGAAACACAATTGAAACAGTTGAGCAAAGTGGGAGAGGAGGGTGTGTGTGTGTGTGTTATGCCAAATCTTAAATGTTTAATTAAAATGGGTAAGTATAACTTTTCATCTATTGCATGATATAGGCCCAGGGCCATGTAATTGGAACTGCTTGGAGTCTAACAAGAAAACATGTCCATTGGCAATTGCTTGCAATTTGCACTTTGGTTTACTTACAGCGATATAAGCACTTGGAAAGAATATGATACGTAATTCTCTACTTTTACTTTTTGTCTTTTTCTTCTCCAATCTTGACTCAGGCATGCTCAGTTTAATAAGAGCTTTGGAGACTTGATTTTTTTCAATTTGTTTTAAAGCACTGAACTTGGATTTTTGTTGGATTCACATCTTTATGCCTACTCTTCACCAGTTTATATAGCACTTCATGATGGAGTTAGGGAATAAGTATTTCTGGCATAAGCAAGTCTGGAGACAAATGGGTGGGGTTTGGGTAAGCATCGGGCCACTCCCGTGCAGGGCAGGAGGCAGAAGCTCATGTATTTCCAGAGTTCTCATGGGTCTGAGAGAAGAAATGGAGCCACCCAGCAGCTAGGAGAGCAGCCACTCTCCTAAGAAAAACATGATCACTTTTCCATCCAGAAAGTGCTTTAATATAATATAATTCACCTAATTATCTCTCTTCTTGAAGTCTTCTCTCCATTACTGCCAATAATTTAGAGTAACTGTGCTCACTTCAGCAGCCCATATAATAATTCAGAGTGATCATTCAGAAGAGGGAAACAATACATCACGTAGCCAGAGAAACAAAAGTTAGAGAATTGAAAAGGCTGTGTGCATATGCAGGAGAAAAGATAAGTAAAAGAATGAAGTAATGTTTTCCTTCACATGAGGAACTCTTATGTGTTTTTAGAGTCATCTGAAGGAACAGCAGGGAATGCAGGCCTTTGGAAGATGAACACACCCATCATACTAGCAGAGAGCCAAGGGCTCTCCTCCTTCCCAAGCCCAGCTCATGCTGAAATGCACAGTAGCTGCCTCCTGGTCTACAAGCTCTGATTGCCCAGTCTGGTTCTAGCAAGGGGTGGAAATAGCTACTAGGATCTGAGACTAAAACTATGACTTTGAGCCAGGTATAGTAATGTCTGTAATACCAGCATTGTGGGAGGCTGAGGCAGGAAGATCACAAATTCATAACTTAGTAATGCTTTATCTTAAAATAAAAAATGGCTGGGGATGTAGCTCAGTGCAGAGGTCCTGGGTTCAATTTCCAGTACTGTGAAACAAAATAAAACAAACAAAAAAATACTTTGACTTCTTTGGCACTTTGCCCCAGTTACCCAAGCTAACTCGGTAAGATAGCAAATAAGAATGTTCTTAACCATCTTGTAATAAAATTGTTTTTAAACTACAAACTTTTTTTTTTACCAGCCGATGACATTTTCCACATTTGGCTTTCACATGTGTAGTTGAGGATGCATGTAACCAGAGAGTATTAGTAATTCCCC